AAATTTAGCGGAAACTGACTCCGCTTAGAATTACAGGATATACAGATACTCTCATTTTCTATAAAGATGTGAATAATTTATTGAAAGGAAATTCGCAAACGAATATTAATGTCCAACAAAGTTATAAACAAAATTATAACTTTTGGTTCTGTCGAACTTCAATGGAATACAGTCATATATATTACGAACAAATTGTAAAAACTAATTTTACTAGATGTAAAATTAGTTAAAGTAAGTAAAGTCACGTAAATTACCTTTAAGTTAACTGCCGGCGTAAATTTTACTTTGCATTCAGTATAAAAATTTTATTTGTAGAAAATGAAACGAATACTGCTTTCAGAATGCGGATAAAATATATTTCCCAGAACGTTCAAAACAGTGTGATTAGTTGTTTATCAAATATCCATCATCAAGTGATTGGCATTTTTAGATTATTCCGAAAAATTGTTGACTTCCGATGTTTTCTGATGGCAGGCTCGTTCGGATTGATAACCTCACAAAGAATAAATTCAGAAACTGTCACCATTTTGGTTCTCTGGAGTTAAATGCCAGTTTTTTGGCCATGATTCCGGTGAAATAGCGAAGAAAAGTTAATCTTTCGTACTACAGTTAACAGGCTATGCATGAATTATGTCAGTTTTCGTTGACCCTTCATTGTATTCTTTTGTAAAGACCATATAGCAGCTTTTATATCATTCTCATTAAAGAGTTTACTAAAAACTCTACTATAGCACGTCGAAAAATATGAATGATGAAGCATTTTGTTCAGTTTTAGAAACACGTCCGAACGAATATTTTTGCATTTTTTAACAAACGTGAGAGAAAATAAGTGACTCGAAATTGTTATAACGAAATTAGTTTGAGCAATCCAACATATCAGAACCATTTTAACTGCAAAACTGTCCTAATTATCATACATATATAACGGATTTAAAGAACGTGTTACATCCGGGGAGAACACCGAACTTTTTTTCTTAACCGAGATCGGTGTATCCATGGAAAGTGGGTCAAGATAGCCTTGTTTCCGACGAGTTCAATTCTGATTCCATCTTTTCAACTTCAGGTTTCTATATGAAATTTAGACTGGTCAGAACCATCCAGTAATAGACTTGTTGTATCTAAAATATACTGTGCAATTCGGAAAAGTTCTAACTGTGGCGGCAACGAAATTCAAGATGTCGAGTCCAATGTGTAGAGTAACCTTCCTAAATCGACCGCTATTTTCAAATATTGTTTTATTGTTATGCTTATGTTATTCTAACACAGAGTTTTTATAGTGAAGATTTAGTTTCTCATACTCCATTTGAATATGTTAAAAAGTCTTGTTAAGTTAGCCCCTTGTGGGGCTAAAATGGTGAAACTTCTTTACATTAGCTGAAAGATAGTACTGGGAACAGTGTAAGCTAACATAGAGGAGCAACGAAAATTGCAGGTGCCTTTTAAGATGAATACACTACTCGTTCAAGAGGGATACACCACTCGGTTAAGATGAATACATCTCCTGAATAAAATGATTACACTACCCCATTGAGAGGAATACACCGCCAGGTTAAGATGAATACACCACCATTGTAAGATGCATATACCCATCAATGTAGAATGAATACACCCGGGGGAGGGGGCAAGGTTAAAAAATAGATTAAAATCAAGGCTTTTTTAGTAGAAAACTTCAACTCCTTCTTCACTGAAGGAGTCACAGAACTTTAGAAGATGAAGCATATTAAATATCCAGTGTGATGTTGGAAACTAAAATATTGTCTCTCTCCCATTGCATTTGGCCATAACAGGTACATGAGAAGGAGAAATTTAAGACTTTGAATTATGATATCTTTTTACACTGTTCATATGATTTTTGGTTTTTCTTAACAAAAAAAACTAGGAAAAAATACCTAACGGGATCTTTTGAAGCGAAAATTTCGACAAAAACTCTTGTTGAACAGTGCGATAAGATACGTAGAGCACGAATATCATAATTTAAAGTCTCAATTTTCTCACGGTCATGTACCTGTTCTGGTCCTATATAGTGATATTTCTGTTAGGCTGTATCTCTAAAATTACGAACAAAAGCATGCGGCAAAAGTTGAACAGTATCGTTCATAAACAAATTCAAATATTAGTTAGTAGTTTATTCATTTTCAATTATACCCTGCACTTCTTGTCAAGTTAATATAATGTTTTTACTAAGAATGTTTTCTTTTTTAAATAGTCTGAGATTCTCTAGTTATTCTAAAGATAGCACTATATTCCAATATTAATGTTAAAGCGTCACCTTGTGATCTCGTCTCAAATCTCCAATACAAGATGTTCGAAATTACACTTTCTATGAATGTAATAACGAGATTTGGTATTATTAGTTATTTAATTTACCAATGTGCTTCTTGACTATATTATTGACTCTCTCTTTCTCTCTCTTTCCCTCTCTCTCTCTCTCCTTCTCATTTGATAACCTTGGTATTGTAGATCTAGTATATATGTATATATAGTGTTGGGTGTTCGACATAATTAACACATCTGTTCTGCCTTGGTACCGCAAAAGCAACAAGCATTTAATTTGATTTTTTCTCCCTCTATGATAATAAATATGAGCCAAAGTTCATTAGTTTCGCTCCGATACGACACTCATACAAGGTTTATGACCTGAATTATTGTAAAACACAATCTCTTTTGTTGTAATCGTCGAGGTCGAGTATATAAAGAAAAAAAAAGAAATAAATGGATGTCATATCCAACAGAAAATAGATAGATATGCATATATTGAACTGTACATCATATACATCGGCATGACGTCAATATTCTGTTACGATATATTGAGATGAACATAAATCGAGAATGTGTTTAACCTAATATTAATATAAATGTCAATATAATTTCTCAGATATCAATCAACATAGGACACCGTGTTTACAAAATTATAGAGCCTACATACATAACTCATCAAAAATCAAGTTTTGGTTGTACAAACACGACTATACCCTAAGTAAAATGTAATGACCTGTATGAAATTGTGGAAAAATCGGATTTTCAGTTCAAATTTTGGAGAAAAAAAAATAGATAAATGAATGAATATTCAGAATACTAAAAGATTTTGATGCTTTTGTGTTTGATTGCTTGTCTAGATGAACAGTAATCAAATTTGCCAGTTTCGCCATTATGTAATCCTATTTTAAATTATTTGTCTATCAAAATCTTATTCTAATACCTTTTTAAATCATTGTATAGTGGAACAATATCATGTTCTTTCTCTGTAAACTAACTAAATGTAAATTTTATAATAATTAAATTGTGTACATACTCACAACATAGTAATGTACTCACTAAAACAGAACAGCGATAAATTACAATCAACCTCCATTGATCAAATGTATTTCCTCTCTTTTTTCTCTCTCTAGAGAAGCACTATCGATATATGTTTACTGTCTAATTTCTGTTCTATGTCACTTGTTTCTATTTATGAAAGAAGAAAAGAATGACACCACAGCTTACATCAATTGTAGATGTCTGTGATTGTAATAAGTCAAATCTTTAAAATATGATCTCATAAAAGAAGGTTATGTGTCGTCTGTAGTCTAGAATAGGTACCAGTCAATCATAATATACTAATGTTACGCAAGAAATAAGGGCGCACCAACTGTTCATTGGTATTTAATGACTTTACAATATCAATAATATTAACTTCGATAGATGAAGGTGAAAATAACAAGTATTCAATAGATAAAAATATCTAATAACTAAGCTCGTACACGAACAGCTAAATTAAGTCTATCTTCGTTGATATTGTAGCTAGTTGATATTGATTCGTTAAACATTGGTCACATCAAACCAGCGTCCATTTTTAGCTAAAATACGACTTAAATCACTTATAGACTGATAAATATTCTTTAAATTTGGACACTGCCGGACTACATGGCTATTCTTGTAGGCATTTTCTCTTATTTACTTATTTTTGTTTAAAAAAGATGTAGAGAATTAATCAATAAAAAAACATGTCATTTTGACTTTACTTTAAAAAAGAGAAATTAGATATTATTACACAGATCAATGATCTATAACTTCATTAGCATAAATCTCTCACAATCGAAAACATAATAAATGTCAAGAAGAAGAAAAAGAAAACGAGAGAGAAAGAGGAAAGAAAAAACTTTGTTGTTTGTTTTTCTACTTTTCGAATATTATAATAATTACTTCAGTAAGTTCAATTTTGCATCTTCCTCTCTTTTCGATTCGCCAAAACGGAAGAATTTCCTGTTCTTGCAGAGGGGAAGAGTGACATGTCATCACAATCAAAAAAAATATATATATACTTCCCTTTTGTCAACAACTACAAAACTCTCAATATAGTATCAATTAATGAGCCTGTTTTCAGATTCGAGAATAAAAAAGAAAAATAATAAGAATCGCAAAAACTCTAGCCGTTTATTTCTGAAAAGCATGTTAAACAATCAGGATACTGCATTATGATAAGTATCAGAATAATCTGATCTAATCATAGACTATATAGTGCTGCTATCGAGCCTTTTTCGTCCAACAAATAGTATAAAAATCATTCAGCAGATATATGAATGAGAGAGAGAGAGAAGAGTTAATAGCTAGTAAGGCCTACTGTGTCAAGTATCTATAAACAAAGTTGCTAGGATAATATTTTCAAACTATCTCTGGAGTATTTAATTATTAATCTATTTATTTAAACAATATGATAAATAAAGGTCTTATGATTATAAATTTATTTATGTGAGAAAAAAAAAAAATTCCGCATATTAATACAAGTTCTCTCAATCGAGTCAATTAACGCAGCTGAACGTATCCTTTTGTTCTTCTTCGATTGCATTTCTATCTCCCGATTCTTATTAATACAACTCTCTTCTTCTTTCTTTAGATAGCCAAAAATGCAAGAAAAAAGAAAAACACATTGTGTTTTATTCTCTTATTCTCCTCTTTTATAGACTATCGTGTTGGTTATTTTTAATCGATACTCATTCAGAATTAGCCATATCGAACTAATAATGGCTGAAAATTGGAAAAAATTGTATAGACGATGGCAAGAACAACATAAGAAACTCAAAGCTCGTTATATATCTTCGTCTTTGCCAATATCATCAACACAACAACGTGAAACATTTCGATCATTTCGTATTAAACGTCTTACGACAACTACTGACACCAAATTTGAATATAAACGACAATCATTAGATGTTACATACAATCAAACATCAAATTTTTTTACTAATATTCGAGATAGTTTCAAAATTCCATCAACAAAATTAAGAACGTAAGTAAAAAAAATGTAGAACAATAGGTGAATTCGACATTTTACACACAAAAAAAAAAGTGCTAAGAAACAGGTGTTTCTTTTTATCGATACTGAAACTCTCATTGTTTTCTTTTCCCAAATTTTTTTAAATATTTTTAACTAGTTTGAATAGAATGTATAAAAAGCAACATTTTTCGACTTAAAGATTCTCTCGTTCTTACTCTGTGATGAAGACTTACGACTATATGAATTATAATTATAAGACATGTTTTTTGATTTTTAACTCGAATAGTAGGCATTATAGTTCAAGGTAAAATGTTGAATGAAAAGGAGTAAAATTGATTTCTATGGTGCTGAAATAACGAATAATTAAAATCAATGTTTTGTCCAACATTATTTATGACAGTTGTCATCGCTATAAAAATGATATGACAGTAATAGAGACGACTACTCTAACGTAAAATATTTTACATGATGTAAAAAAATTTTTTCTAAATGTTGCTATTATACAAGAAGAAAATGTCATAATTTTCTTGAAATAAGAAAAATTTAGTCTATGTATTTATTAATCAGGAAGTCAATAATAGTTGGCTCAGTTAATTCTAATCATTTTTTGCATGAACAAATAAATCCACGTTAGTAATAATCTTAATTAAGGGTTGTAACTAACTTCAGTTATTTACTTGTTTCACTATATTAGCCTTTCTAAAAATTTCAATTCCATCGCGTGCTGATACTAGAATAGTTAAAATATTTCTATAAATATAGACTTTCTTCTTTTCTTTATTTTGACTGTCAGTTTGTCCTCTTTTTTTTTTTGTCACATTCAAAGTACACACTCTTGTGTAAATTTTAACAATTATTACGTAAAAAACTATAAAGTCTATTATCATTTGAAAAGAAAAGAGCACTTCTAAAATGGGAGCTTTTCCTCATATTTAGGATAAAAATCCTTGTAGTGAGTGTCTCTCTCTTTTGCTCACATTATATTATTAGGTTCAATGATGATTGGTATGTGTTCGTCAACCTTCAATCACGAAAAGAAAAAGAATGAAAAATTAATGAGAAGTTTTTTTTTTTTCTTTTTTCGTATAACTTGATTGCGCGTTCATTCTTTTTCAACATAGTAATTATTAATCTAACTATATGCCTTTAGAGAGTGAGAGAAGAGAGGAAAAGAGAGTTATTTTTTGAAGATTGTTGAAGAAGAACAAATAAACCTCCGCAAAATGCCTTAAGTAAACCTCACTTGAAGGAGTATGAAAATGCGTACATATTTTTGAACATCTTCTAAATAATATGAAAATCGTCATTGTATTACAACATACCATTTTATCCCATAAAATTTTTAACAACATCACAAACGAAATCTAGAATCTTAGTGACATCTATTGTTTTAACATACAAATCAATTATGCCATTTTCATGTTGTAATATTGACGTGAAAAATTTGTGTATGTTTGTATATGAATTTATTTTAGAATTTGTTTTCATATACATTTCACTTTTGAAGATTTTTGAATTGAAAATCTCAGGGCAAGATAAACGGACAGAGTACTATGTATAAATTTCTATCAGCAGGTGAAAAACAGTTTTGAGTTGATTAAATATTTGTAAAGTTAATCAATTTTCCGCATTTTTATATATAATCTCTATTAAAACTTTAATGACAACTAATAGACGTAATTGACATAGGACACATTGACAAAGTCCCCATAGAAAAATGAAAAAAAAATATAAACTAAAACAAGAGCATGAACTGTTATCTATCAACAAGTAAAAGAGTAACAAAGCATAATGTGAACAGAAATCTGTCATATTACACGTCTGAGAGGAAGTATCGTACAAGTGCAGGTTTAAAGATGATATATTTTGGAAGAGTGATATGTATGTACGAATGAATACATAAAACTGACAAATGATACATTATTTAAGACGATTAGTATTTTTAGTCAAAGCTAGAACTGCAAGCAATGGCTATTCGAATCATTTGATGATTTAAGATGCAATTCTCTGCTCTTTCACTCAAAATACTTTGTATATTGTTCGTAATTTCCTTATTTTAAAGAAACAGATCTATATATTATTGATTATAAAGGATGATCAGTTAAAGTTCAGAAGGTTTTTTTTAAAACAATATCTTCCATCAATAATAAAAAATAATGGACATAATCTTTTTTTTTCGGTCAACTTTGAAAATATATTTTAAAACATGATATTCACAATCTTCGATCGAGCAATCCCACTTTTAATTATCATTATTATACCACGTTCTATGCGCTATTATTACAGCAAAATTTTTAAGGAAGAACTCTTTAATGTCACTTTTAAAACATAATTTGTCTAAAATATTTTCATTATCGGATTCCATTATGGTCGTTAACGCATGTCCTCTTCAAACTGTTTATCCATGTATGCTTTACTATATGACTTTTTAATCGTGGTATTCTTGTTACTTTTGCAATGATCAACTATACTAAGATATGAAAAGTTATTTCAGTTTGACATGGTACTAGCGTTGAAAAGCACATATGGTCTGCACCAGAATTCTTCTGATATGGTCAATAATTTGACTTTGTATACATATAAAATCAAAACAAGTGTGTGGGTTTTGTATCTACTTGTGAAAGAGAAATGCTAACCTCTGAAGGCATAATCATTCATAATACAACATATCATTCCTCGAATAAACAAACAAAAGAATAAGAAAATATTAGATAAACTACGACTTTCCCAAACGTATAAGTAATGAATTCAAGATTTGGGATTTTTTTGTAGAACAGAAACTTTTTGACATACGAACATCATAATCAGCGTCATAATGTCGACAGATCTTATTTCTACTACTCGATAGTAAAGAGAAGGAAAAGTGACGAAAAATAAATTAATTTATGTGCGTGATTATATAGAAGAACATCAGGTTTATTCTGATACAATAGATTACTTGTCAAATAGTTCAGGTAAGCATATTACGAAGAAGAATTATCACTCATAAATGAATAAAATATTACTTTTTTTCCTGTTTCGTGTTATATGGTTAAATTAATGAGGGATTTACTGATGTAAGAGTAAAACAGTGATCATCGATGATGACCAGATGTCAAAATATGCCATCGCTACGTTATTCAAGCGACACTTCAGATCAGCATTCTCGATTGATTAGTTCCATCTTTTCTTTTTCCATTAGTTTATTTGAGTTTGGTTCTCAATTTGTGATAACCTTTTTTCTTTGGAGTTTGTTCGGCTTATTTTCATAAGCGATGCTAGTAGAAAATCGCTGTGATATACCAGATCGAAGATATCTTCTTCGCAAGGTCGCTTTATCCATAAAGGCATAATCGTCTTGGATCGCGCTAGTTAGATTGCACGTAAACATTGCGATTGTTGTACCTCCCATCACGCACACACGAGACAAACATCAAATCTGTTGCTTTAAAGATGATATGAGACAATATTCAAAAGAAAATATTCTCAGTTTTTTCTCATGTTACACTGTTTATCCTCACTGTTTAATATGACTAAATATTGTTTCTCTGTGTCATGCATGCCATGGTAATTTTCAATTAACATGTGTGGGCTAAACTTCGAAGAAAAGACCGGAGAAGATCAGAAAAAAAAACATCGAGAACAAGAGAAAAAAAAGATGAACGAATCAGATCAACTTATTATCTAATTCTAGAAAATTTCTTGTTAGACCTCAAAAACAGTTTTTCACGCACACAGTTGATATCAAGGAATTTGAGTTTTATATAGTTTCAGTTAGTAGAAGATGAAATTAAGAAATTTAATGCGTCCTTGCAAAGATCTATGATCTGATTTATTTTTATGAATGAAATAAGTTATCCATCATCATTATTATTGTTTGTTCTTGTTGATCGTTATTTGTCAAAATGGTTGCTTTCAAGTAAAAAAAAGATATATTAGAAATGATCATTAATTAACTTTTTCTTAGCTATTTTCGCGAAAATTTGGCACTAATGAAATAGTGTACAATATATACATGTCAAATTGTTTGTTTTCTTATCTATCTCTCCCTCTCTCTTTCTAATTCTATCTTTCTGTTTAAAAATATTTTCCTTTTATCGAGAAAAACGATGTTTTTATAGGTGGTATAGAATGAAAAAATAAGTCCTTGATATAATCAGTTTGACCAGTTAATTAACCATAATCAATCTATCGATGAGAGAGAAAGAGAAAAAAGAGTCCATCATTTTGGTTTAATTCTCCAAACATATTTACTAATAAAAGAAAAATGCTTAAAATAGAACTCTCTCACTCTAAGTGAAAACCATATTTTGATGTATAAATAATTATTTTCCCGAGAAAAATAACACACTCTATAAGACATGAATACAGCAGATTATGCAGAAGAAAACAAAACATGTTGTTCGAACTGCCGATGTTATCATTTTATTATCATCGTCGAATATAACGAACTGACGAAAACTAAATAATAATGTGTTTCACAAGTAGCTTATACAACTACGGCATGTTCTACCGTAACTCAAATTTTATTATTAAATCAAAACTTGTTTATGAATAACAGAAAATGTAAGTAATGCTAAAATGTGTAATTAACTGTCAACGTTAACGGTTTTTACTAAATGTCACATTGAAAAACAGCAGTATCAAAAAAATGTTGGAACATAGATCAATATCCATAATATGTATGTAAGAGAGGAGCAGCTGGTAGTCGCCTAAAACATCCTGAATGTTTGTAGTCTCTAACAGGCCGATGGTTGAGTAGATAATAATCATCTAGACGATGAGGTGTAAAGATAAAGTCCTTTGATAAACATATTAAATACACATAGCAAATATCTTCAACCCATATTGCAACCCCAATTTCCTGCGTTTCCGTCTGGGCACCGTTTAACGTAATAAATTCGGATTTCTATACAACATTCTCTATAGAACGCGAAGAATCAGATAACTCACACTCCTAGAGATAAAATCTTATTGAATATCTGCAAGAATCTTATGAATTTCTTAATGAGGCAGTCGACCGAAATGCGTAGAATATTGATAAGAATCTTACATAAGAAACTGGTAAGATTTATATAAGAATCGTAATGATTCGTGTAAAAATTTATAGAATTCTTATATAAGATATTTGTAAGGCAACTGCATCGAACGTATATAAGGTTCCGATTCTTACAAGCAATGCAAAATGAAAATTTCTGTTCAGCCAGTTATATCCAATCCGAAGGTTGATACTGTAGGATATAATACAATTTCATCACACTTTTTTGTAACCAGTGGGCTATATTCTACTTTCCTACTATAATTTACTGTTTCATACATGAATAAAATAATTCTCTTTTCTATTCATTTTATTTTTCTATAATAAGACCTTAGTCCCAAATGAGCACCCTAGAGGCACGCCCTCATTGTCTACTATCTGTAGACCGAATTTACTTCTCCAAATCTATCATAGGAAATCTCTATAGGAAGACAATGATGTTCGAAAAATAAGATTATACGTGAGGAGAATATGGGACACAAGATTTCTCCCGTTGCGTAAATTCCGCTTTTCCAAACCGATCTCTAGAAAAATGCACCACTTATGACTTTTTTTCTCTATAAAGATGGCATTCAATTCGGACTCTCTAAGTCGTAGAAGATAGAACAGCTCGAGTACTACTGACATGCATCAAAATTCCTTTCATACCCGTCTTAACAAAGCGCTAGAAGACGTCACAAAAGAACTTTCTGTACAGTTGGTTTAAGCTATATTATTCTATATTTAGATAGAAAATTTTATAGAAATTTCATAGAAAGAATTTTAAGACTTTTGTCCGCATTGTTTCCAGTTTCAGTCATTCGTTTTCATAGCCTTTGGTCTTCTTTGAGAAATGTGAGTGGTTGTGTCCGGGTATGGATACAGTGGATGCAGTGGCGGCAAGTTGTAAAGTAAACCAAAATCTCATATGTGAATGTCATTTGATATGTGATCAGTGAGAAAGTAGTGATTATTTTATAGACTTTTTCGTTTTTGATGGAAAGAAGTTCATTGGATGTAGATCTTGAACGAGTATCAAACGAGAATCATTCGATTTTGGACAAACTACGACGGCCGAGTTATGTAAATATTCAATATTAAGGCGCCATCTATATTGTAGAATAGTGAATATCTCAGTAATCGTAGTTTGTCCGAGAATGAAAGATTCTCATTTGATCCTTGTTCAAGATCTACATCCAATAAACTTCTTTCCATCAAAAACGAAAACGTGGGTGAGAGATAAGCACATCGTTTTCCTCCGATCGCACACCAATTATGTGTATCTGTCGCTATATATCTTAAACTTGGAGAACATGCGACATGTAGGTCTTCTAATCAATACAATAGATTTCTTTAATGAAGAGAATTTTGTTATGTTAATATGAAATCGTCAAAGTTGGTTGAGAAACAGACAAACTCTAATTGAATTAAGTTTGTTATCAATCAGTAGAATAATATAGCTGTAATCGAACGAGAAAATAAATTCAATATCCGTGGTTATAATAAAAGAGCAACTAAATTTTGTGAATATTTTTTTCAACCCACTAGCAGAAAGGTCACGCTTTTTCTCGGTGTAGTGGAGAGCTTTATGCGTTTAGCGACACGTAAAAGAGCCTATGTACATCTGGGATATAAATAGACTTTTGTGTATCGATCGTATTGAAGTGTATAGTGGATACATCTAAATGTTAAGGTGTCAAATTTTGATCAACTAGATGTTTCTTGCCATGTTTATGTTCTATATTCGTTAACCAGACCTAATTGTCACATTATAGTGAGAAGTAGAATGTGTTTTCTAAAAAAAACAAAGCATTTCAGCTATTTTTCTTGTATTCTACAATCTTTCGTCTCTATATCTAATTCCCAAGAGCTCGTTAGATAATGTGTGTGTATGACAGTAATGTTAATGTCAATGACAGTTAGAAAGAAAATTCTATTACCAGATAGATGTAAATCATTTTATTGTTTTTATGTTCTTCATGGATAATGATCACAACTGTTTCCGAAATATGCACATTGGCATCTATATATATTAAATCATCATTAAAATAAGGGTAGGAAGTAGAGATGATTGATTAACGATCACTTTATTTACTAGAAACGAGAAAGTAAATTAAAATCAAACAAAAATACAGGATATATATTGTTAATAGTAACTTATTTATTTAGAGATTAAATCACACAGTTTGAGTTTGTCAAATATTTGAACATTTTAGAGTTGGTTGGGTATTATAAATACTTGTATCATAAGATTGTGTATATCTATCATTGAGTTTTACAGAGTGACCGTATAAAAGTTTTATATTTTTACTATCTCACGAATGAAAGAATATCTTTCAAATGTTTGGACTATCAAGATCCCTCCGCTATGTGAATGGTCTTTTTTTCTCGGTTTATAAAGAAAAACGTGATGGTGATATATACAAGATCAAGATATTGATCGACTGGAAAAAGAAAAACTCTACATGCTATAATTCTCAGTTTCTTAGATGGGCAAACGAATAAATTCATAATGAATAAAAATCTTACTCTCTTGTCTTATGGGTAGCTCCCCCCCCCAAAATGCTGAAAGTCACGCAAGTCACTCGAGAAGGAAAGCATATTTTTTGAAAAGAAAAAGAACGAACCTGAGATGGGGTTTGAATTATCTGTGGTAAAATTTTTAGCTCGATAGGACCATTTTTTTCGAGGAGTCGTAATATGACTGGATGAAAATCAGAGTTTTCTAGAAAACCCATAGAAGAACATGTCACAAAATTCTGTGCAAAAATACTTCGATTTTCTTTTTCGATGTTCTATCTCAGTTATAAATTTCACCCCGATCCGACATCTGCGTTCCCGGTTTCCAAGAAGGTCAAAAAAGAGGGAGGATACCCTTAAGGAAGACAAGAGTATATAGAAACAAACCAAGATTTCTTTGTATTATTTCCAGTTGTATGATAATATGCTTTGATGAATAACACAACGTTTGACAACATATTGTCTTCTTCATAATAAATAATTAATACGAAAATATAAAGTAGAGATAAATACCATTTGTACATGACGTTGAGATAGTACTTGACTATAGTTTTTTAATATTATAAAAAATAATGAAACAGGTGACGACCGACACACGCAACAAAATAGAGGAAGTGGTTTTAGTCATACGTTTACGCATTTTCTTTGATAATTAACCCAGATTCTAGTCCTAAGAAAGAGGAATACTACTTCCTTTTCGAAATTGATATATCGAGGTAGTTTATCAATCTAATAGCATACAAAATCAGACTCCAAGGGTTGATAAGTACACATCTTTAGAATATAAACGACGAGACATTTAACTGCCACATATCTCAATGCCAAACTAAATGTTATTCAAGGAAAACAATCTCTTTTTTGTATGCATCCATCTGTTGGATGTACATTATTTTATGAGAAAAATTCATCTCGGTAGTATTGTGAAAAAACTTTTCCTTGAAGAGTAGATGATAATTGCTGACAGGTATCAAAAAGAATTAAGTAACAAAAAAGAATTTGACACTTTAGAACAAATAAATTTTCAAAATTAAGCAGTTTGTATCTTTAACTACTGAAAATAACTTTTGATCGAAAAAAGACTCAGTATATGTCATTAAGTTGAAGTGTATTTTCAAGTAAGTATGTAATGGTAGAATACTCAAGTTTAGTTGCCTGCTGTTGAAAATCTTTTTATGTACAATAAATGCTTCTAAACAAGAATATATTACTAGATTGCTATCATATATAAAAAATGGGTTTTAATTTGTATGATTAGATGATTAAGCGTTAATATCTATCTCTTTTGTCTGTCATGAAATCATTATATTTTGTATCTCGTTAATGTCTGTTTATATATAAATATACTATTATTTAACAGAGAAACGATTTAATAAAAAAGACTATCATTATTCTTCTACTAAATTAGACGTACATGCATGACATGTGAGGATATCTCTTCTAATAGGCTACAGCTATGCATACGGAGAAAAAAAAAGAAGTTTTTCCGCCAAGGTCCTTGCTGTGCTTGATCATGTGTTCTTGTTCTTCTACTTCATTTCTTTTCAAAAAATGTTTCGTTGAATGGGTGAGATATCCGGAAATACCAAAATTATTTTTAAAAAAAATCTCTTTTTGGTATTCTTTTTGATAAAACTTGGTGTTCTCCTTTCATTGAATAGATTATTAATGAGTTAAATCACACAGATAGTCCTTTTATTGTACTGATGCGTGTTATACACTTGCCAAAGGAAAAATACAGAAAGAAAATCTATATTGCTAGATAATTTCTTTTCTCTCTTTACACAGTTTTACTACTTATATAAAATGAAAAAGAATCTAAGAAAGGCGATAGTCATTTTTTTTTTGTTTATTTCTTTCTCTTCTTTTTTAAAAAAAAAAAAGGAAAAAAGGATTTTGCAAGGACGCTATGAATTTGTTCAGGAAATTAACTTGTTGTTGATCTATACACATATATCTATCATTCTTTAGTTTTCTTTTCTTTTCCCTCTTTTGAATATAGACTCGATATATGTCTGATTAAAAATAAAAAAGAAACTAACTGTAGTCTCTTAAAATGAACATATTACGTGATAGTCTTATTTCTATTCGGGAAATGGACAATTAAAAGAAAACGAAGAAAAAAAAGTGTCGAGATTTTTTTTGACATACAAGAACAATACAAGTGGTTAATATAGTGTAATATATTCATATACCTTTATTTTTTAATCGTTCTTTCTTCGATCTATATGATGACAAGTATTTTTTATAAACACCCACAATCTCAAATTGTTCAATTGATTAAAAATAGTAGTAATAATACGGATAATACTCAACAACAATCAATAGTAACAACAAAAAAAACAAAATTTAAAAATAGATGGAGACAATTATTAGCAGCAACAAGAAGCAGGTAATCACTTTTATTTTAATAGTTATAATAAGACAAAAAAAAAAAATTAGAAAAATAAGAATTTATAGAGATAAGAAAAGAAGAAAAAAAAGAAAAGAAAAAGAAAAAGAAAAGAATAGATAAATCTTTTTTAAATTAATTTAAGATTAGATTGAAGTTAATATTATTAAATAGTTGTTGAATATTTTAAAAAAAAAAAAAAAAAAAAATGTCTTTAAATATTTTTTTGGATTGAAGTTTGTTACAAGTAACAGCCGTTTTCAAATGCATCATAAATTAATATTATGAATGCGTTAACGACTAAATGTCAAAAAAGATTAACAGTTTATTGTTGTGATATATTAAAGTCGTGGAAGCATCATACGCGTAAATGCAATGGCTCCTTCTTTTTTTTTTTTTTTTTTGTCATACTGTCAAATGTCTCTTTTTTGCAAATAGAAATGAATCTATTATTTAAGTTTGATGTAACAGACACTTTGAATGTAAATCTAAACTTATTGATTTAAAATGTAAAATAGACCACGTTCTCATGGGTGAGTAATATTAGATCTTTAACTAGTTTTAAAAAATTTATGAAGAAAATTTTAATTCTCTTCATATGAAAATATAAAGTATCTTTGAAAAATCAATTTTATTTTTGTAATAAGAAATCAATCATCCTTGAAAAATGATATTAAACTTTCTCTAACTATCTTCTTCTTCAGTCTACGTAAAAGAAAGAAAGTTGGATGTTTTTATCGGAAAACAAAATTTAATCACTTACGACTGCCATTGAATATGGTCTTGTTTTTGGATTAAATTGTCGAAATAATAGTTTTTGAATTAAATTTGGGCTCGATGGAACTTGGTCTGCGGAGCGTTTATTGATTTTAATCTCATCTAAAAGGGAATAAAATATTTTTTAATATGATAACGAAAATTTGTCACGACAGTCTTACTTACCATCAGGTGGATCAATTTTTACTAATGAAAAACGTCTTGTTTGACTTCGAATTCGATTCATTGATACAACATTTTTTGGTGAGAGAGATGGTGTTTGTGAATCTTGATAACACTTAGATGTACTTAATCTTGAATCGTGAAGTTTTAATACTGAACTATCAGGAATGTCACATGTAGTGGATTTGCGAAACGGGCGTCTAAACAATAAAAAAGAAAATTACATCAATGTATGTAACAAGGAAACGAACTTTTAACTATCTTCTCAGAAGATTTGTCGTATTATATTCTGAGATCATATCAATGTCCATTTATCCATACACTTGATGAAACACTATGTTGGCTAATGTTTTACATCTATTTATAGAAATGCTTTAATGTCATTTCAATAAATGCACAGTATCAACAGTGATTATCAATGGAAGACAAATCAGTGCCATCTTTGATTTCATTTTCTTAGCTAATTGATGTCACAGAGATCGGCTACTTAGTGTTTTACCTATTACTCGTCTTCTAAACTTTTCAAAAGATGCGCCATGTCTTTCTCTACAAACAACTTTTTTCATCTGATTCAGATATTTTAAAAGTAGTGACGCATAATAAACGGTATTTTCTCAAATTGTCTCTCGTGTACTCTTTCGTCTTACATCTTCTTAGAGTCTATTTCTACGGTACAAAGAGTGACTTCACTGAAATTGTCTGAGAAACAACAAAAATTGATTTGAAAAAAAACCAAACAGATTTGAACAGCGAAAGTTAGTGAACTTTTCGGATTTATTGAGTATGTAACACATGGTATTTTCTCTACAAAATCAAAGAGAAAACGAATTCAACATGTTTAACTTTGAACGAGTCATAAATGATGGTGTAGTCAGAATTCTCCTGGGAGAGGAAAGAATTAAACCACCAAAAAGTTTTCATGCATGTAGTTTTAATGCAGATAAAAATTCGAAAAAGATAGAACGTTGACGGTCTGAGAACCTTGTCATAGAACTTTTCATATTTTTTATCTTTTGCAATAAAAGAGTCCATAAATTGTTTGCAGATATAATGAAGACACATCTTTTAAAAAAGTTTAGATCTCATGCAGAAGCATAAATTAATAGACGAAATACTAACTTTTATATTTTCTTTGTATCACCTGTCGAATTATAATTCAATTTAGTTCCACTATATCTTTCTAATAATTTGACATACTCATATTATACAACACTTACTCATCGATCATATCGAATATACTTTGTTTTATTGTATTTTTTCAGATAATTTTATTCATATTCTCTTCTTACATTCATGTCTTTTATTCAAATTTAATAAAACATTTCTATCATTAGTAAATCATCCAAAAACAATTCTCATCGGTGTATAATATGAATTTTTTATTTGATTCACATAAGGTGTTTTAATGACATCTTCATACGATATACATTCAACTGATTAAGAGTACCACTCTTCTCATTTTTAAAAGAGAGTTCATTTTTGAGATGATTTGAGAATATACTTTAAACTGTCCTATGCAAAAATGAGATATCTTCAAGTTCTTCATGACCTCTCTCTCATTCAGAGAAATGATGATTTTTTTTTCATATTTTTATTCTCTCTAAGCTGTAAAATCTTGTTTTTCTCACTTTCTGATTTGCAAAAAAAAAAAATTTTGTTTAATAACATAATTTTGGAAAAACAAACATTTTTTCTCTTCACCATAATTTCTTTCAGAAATATAGAATTGATACAAAATACTCGTAAAAATCAAAACATTTTACTAATGACAACATCCCGTATTCGCATGTAATCTAATACTCATTGCACATTGACTAACTCTATCAAAAATTGTAGAAAGGTGTTAGACCTATACTTTTTCCTAATAAATTTTCATATATATCTAATTGCTATCTTTCACAATTCAGAAAGTAAATACTTTTTATATATCTTTATATATATATATATATATATTAACATCATTTTCTGTGAAATAGAAAAAATTGTGAATGAATCAGATTCATGAATTGTTCTGAGTCAAATAAAACGTAAAATAATCATCAAATGAATACTAAAACATTGTATAAATTTCATCCCCCAATTTATGACATGCAAAATGTGTTCATTGAAAAATTATATCATGACATTTTTTAGTGTAGAATTTCAGTAGAATAATGATAAATACGAATTCTATTATACATAAACGAATAAAGAAGTCTGTTAATATTAATTTTCATTATATAGTTTGTATAAGGTCACTATTTTGATGGTTATTATAATTTCCATACTTATTTATTTAAACCTCATTGTACTGAAGATAAACAGATATTTTCTATAATTCATTTGTTTTGAGTCGTTATTTTATATTTAATCCTTTTGTCTTAATCAAACAGAAGAAAAAAAACCCGCAGGATAGATAAGAAATAATTCTACTAACTTATTCGTTGTATCAAAGAAAGGTCGTCGTTCTATTATTCCTTAGAGATATCGTCTTATTTCTCATTAGTTGTAACATACTGCTCATTTGACTATTTAATTTTTCTTCTTCTTCTTCTTTTAGCATGTTTTTTCATTAAATATTTTTTTTTATACATACTGATTCATTTCGTGCTGATTTTTGTTCAATAAATAATGTTATAATACTCTCTTCTTGCTTATCATTATAATAACCAAAAAGTAATTCATAATAAAAATAGACTAAATTTGTTGAAAAATCTATGATACAAGTGAATTTTTCTATATAGTCATTGTAAATTATTATTTGCAATTCTAATTGTTCAACATCATATTCAATAGATATGTTGTTGTTTAATTGACATTTTACAAAAAAATTAACAAAAAACATGTACAACAGAAGAGTAGGAAGAAGAAGCATCTTTTCAATTTAATACTCAAAAAAGAAAAAAAAAAAAAAAGAAAAAGAGAAACGGGAGTTATCATTAAAAATATGGCGCTTTTTCAAATAGTACGCCATATGAAAATTTAAAAATCTCTATTTCTGTCCGTTTAGCACGCACAACATTTTCAATTCATATCCTATATACAATAAAATCATTGAAGATAAAACTCATTACAAATTGATCCTATCAAATCTGTTATAAACACATATTCATATGAGTAAAAAAGAAGAAGAAGAAGATAGTTAGAGAAAGTTTAATATCATTTTTCAAGGATGATTGATTTCTTATTACAAAAATAAAATTGATTTTTCAAAG